CATATTATAAATTATATTTTATATTAAATATAAATGCTAAATGTACAGATATATATACATATAAATAAAATTAAAAAATATATATATATAAAATAAAATTATAAAATTAAAGAATACAATCAAAGAGATAAACATAAAATCAATTTAAAATATTTTTTAAATAAAACTGTAATAGAACTGTTTTTTATTTTAATTAATACAAAATTAGAAAATTACTTACAATATATTTTTTATGATAATAAAAATAAATATTGAAATTTATAAAAATTATAAAATTAATAGAATAAAATACATAAAGTATGTGGATTTAAATAGTAATATTACTAATAATACCTCCAAGAACAAAACATGACACACAGGAAATAAATCCACTAAGAAAACTATTAAAAGGGAATGTGCCGACCAGGCAACAATATATGAATTGTATAACACCCGTTAAAAACACATAAAGTAGATAAGCATCTATTATTTTAAGTTTTTTTGGTGTATTTTTCGTATACTCTTGCCAAAATTTTGCAATAACTGCTAATGCAATCATTTTTCTACAAATTTTTTGACGTTTCGTTTAAGGTTAGATTAAACTTCAAGGTTAGTATGCGTGGCACCGCTCGTTCTATTAATATGTCGGTATATATCGATACTTTTAATTATCGATAATATATATAATTTTAGAAAATATCGATAGTATCGAATGTTAATATAGAGGTTAGAATACATCAAGTAAACAAAATAAGCGTATTAAAAAATATATATTCTTAAAAGATATATAATAAGAGAATGTTATTTATATTAACAAAATGACAGACGAAAAAACACAAACACAAGAATTTAAATTAGATCCAGATTGTGAATTACGATTTGAAGTTGAAACGAAAAATGAAAAAGTTACGTTAGAGGTATATACAAAACATATTTTATTTGTATTTTATATTATTTTTATATTATTTGTTTTGATTATTTATATATATAATTGCATTATGTATATAATTTCATTTTTATTTATATCTTCATTTCTATTTTAATGCATTATAATATTTACAATAATTTTTTATAGTTAAAAAGTGGATTAGCAGAAGTTTTTGGTACAGAATTAGTAAAAGGAAAAAAATATGAATTTACAGCTGGTGCAAAAGTAGCTGCATTTACTTGGCAAGGCTGCACAGTAGAATTAGTTGGCAAAACTGATGTAAGTTATGTTGCAAAAGAAACACCAATGGGCCTTTATTTAAATTGTCATGCTGCAATGGAAAGGCTTAGAGAAGCTGCAGAAAAAGAAGACACTAGAGGTCCAATAACAATGATTGTTGGTCCTTGTGATGTAGGAAAATCAACTCTTTGTAGACTTTTATTAAATTATGCAGTTAGAATGGGTCGTAGACCAATTTTTGTAGATTTAGATGTTGGTCAAGGTCATATAGCAATACCGGGTACTGTTGGAGCATTACTAGTTGAACGTCCATCTAATGTAGTTGATGGTTTCAGCCAACAAGCACCTTTAGTCTTTCACTTTGGACATAAATCTCCACAAGCCAATGTTGCTCTTTATAATCTTCTTGTAACACGATTAGCAGAAGTCTGTTCTGATAGATTGCAAGCAAATAAAAAAGCCAGAGTTTCAGGAATTGTAATAAATACTTGTGGTTGGGTAAAAGGAGCTGGATATAAATTATTGACACATGCTGCTCAAGCTTTTGAAGTTGATGCAATTCTAGTACTTGATCAAGAAAGACTCTATAATGAACTTGTTAGAGATATGCCAGACTTTGTTAAAGTTGTATTTTTGCCAAAAAGTGGTGGAGTTGTAGAAAGGAGTCAAACTCAAAGAACAGAAGCCAGAGATCAAAGTGTTAGAGAATATTTTTATGGATCTAGAATGCCACTTTATCCACATAGCTTTGAAGTGAAATGGAATGAGGCTAGATTATATAAAATTGGAGCTCCAGTACTTCCTGCATCTTGTATGCCACTTGGAATGAAAGCAGAAGATAATTTAACAAAATTAGTAGCTGTTACACCTGGACCAAATCTTCTTCATCACTTATTATCTGTTTCATTTGCTGATTCACCAGAAGATGATGTAGTACAAACTAATGTTGCTGGATTTGTTTGTGTGTAAGAATCATCATTAAAATATTTTAATACTATGTAATAATAATTATAAATATTATAAATTATAT